TAGTAGTAGTAGTGATAGTAGACGAAGAAGTAGTAGTACTAGTAGTAGTAGAAGAAGTAGAAGTAGTAGGTGGTGGTAGAAGAAGAAGTAGTAGTAGTAGTAGTAGTAGTAGTAGTAGTGATAGTAGAAGAAGTAGTAGTAGCAGCAGCAGTGGTAGCAGTTGTTGTTGTTGTAGCAGTAGTCGTACCACCACTACTGCTTCAACTGCTAGTTTTGGCACTCGTACTAGCACAAGTGCTTGCGGAACCTCCTCACCAGCAAGAAGAAGTATTAGTAGTGCCGGCCATACATGAAATAGAAACAAAAACCCTGGACCCTAAACCACATCAGAAAATGAAAGAGTCTCATCAGCATCTTCGGCCTGGCCCGGGCTCGATCCGCTCCTGGAGCAGAGCCTGAAGCGCGCAGAGACCAACGCATAAGGAAGCCCCAAACTTCCTAAACCCTAAACCCTCAATATCCGATGTGAGCTTCAAACTTGAATTCCCCCCCCCCAAAAAAAAGACTCCTAATCGAGTTTCACGGCTGGGGGTTTGGCATGGAGGTTTCCGGTCTTGGATTAATCCAGATCAACTCCTGGGGAGCCCAAACTCTGTACCCGTCGCCTGTAAGTAGAGGTCCACGCTCAAGGGAGGAACACAAAAGCAAGCTGTTCGACACACGATGAACAGTGCGGCCTCGCAAAGGCAGGCGCCCAGTAGCCTGCAAGGCACGGTTTGGGGCTCGTGGGTTTTGGCTTTAGGGTTTAAGTTTAAGTGGTCCAGTCAGATCTTGTTGCATTTCGGAAGACAAGACTCAATAGAGAAGGATTCAGGATCGAAGCTCGATTTAAGCCAGAGCAGCCACAGGTCGCTCTTCTCGGTCAGGGGGAGTTCCAGCAGTACCTCCGACAGAAATGCGACACTCTTCGAGTGTGATGCTTCACCCTGCCCTGTTCCAACTGACACTTACACCACGGTGGCCACGAAGCTGATGCATGCCAGCAAGCGGCTGCTGCTGCTGCCAGTACGACCAGTACGTACCACCAGGGTTGCTACGGCTCCTGCTGCTGCTACGATGGTTGCTGCAGCTGCTGCTTATGCTGCTGCTTATGCTGCTGCTGTTCAACTGTTGAAAGCTGCTCCTGCTCCTGCTTGTTGGGTGGGATGCTTGGACGGACCGCCAGGAGCTGGTCGGAACTCCGACGACGACCATGGTCTCAGCTTGGCTCCTCAGGCCCTGCACCTGATGTCCCTGCAGCTGCCTCTTCGTTGCTGCTGCGGCTGCTGCTGCTTTACGAGCACGAACCGTAGTGCTACTAATTAAGACATAGACGACGCCGGATGAGAGTCATTGAAAGCTGCTGAATCAACGAAGAACTACGTAACGGCCTTGCAATATTCATAGCAACATCGAGAGGTTACCGCTGCGAACACCATGATCTATCAGAACCCCGTTGGGCACCTCGGGCAGCAGCGTGGCTCCCCAGCAGGAAGGTTCCAGTTCGGAGACCTTCATCCCCAGCGACGAGTACAATGCATAACTAGTCACGACACGGCGCTGCCTTCTGAGCAGCGTGGACACCCGTCAGTTTCCACCGGCCATCCAGCGCCAAACACAAGCTTTCGGGTGAAACCTGAGCTCAAGTCGGTCTTCAGGGCATCTCACAACTTATTAGAGTCATTAGAGCCAAGGGGCTTTGCACATAACCCAGTTGTGGGAGTGCAGCCTGAGGGTCGTCCGGCATTTTTTACGGCTGCCATGCGCATCCAAGACTCTGAGAGAAACGCTTAAATAATTCGGGTTGGCGCGT